ACCCAATATTGGGATGCTGACAGGACTTCCCCATGTTTTGGGATTTTGGCCTCCGTATATGAATAACCAAATCCTTTTAGTTTAAGAGATACGGCAATTTTCGATATTTTTCAAAAATTTCTAGAACACTTAAATTTGAAAAATTTTAAAAAATTTGAAGTTATCAACCTTGTAGTTGGGTGCTGTCAAGGTACTCTCACTGGCTCTGCGAATGTTTCCGCTGAGTATGACTGCTCAAATCTTTAGTTTTCGAGATATGACGTTTTTCTAGGATTGTTTAAAGAAATTAGATTTAAAAATTCACAAAATTTGAAGTTCCCATCTCTATGGTAAAGCTCTGTCAAGGTACTCTCAAGAGTTGCGTTTTTTGCCTCCAAATATGACTGCTGAAATCGTTGTACTTTTCGAGATACGGGTTTTTTTGTGATTTTCTCAAAAAAAAATTTCTGATAATTTAAATTCAACTTTTTTCTTCAACTTTTTTCTTCTTTTTGAATGAACATCTGAAAAATTAATATCTTTCACTATAAGCTTTAAAAACCATTGTCACACTCTTATACAGAAAAGATGATCTAGATTTATCAAAAAACTACAGGCGAAGCTCTTTAATGGGGGCATCAACGTAAGTTTTCGATAAACGTTTGTAGAATTATTCAAATGAACATTTTTTTGCAACACTCACTTTACTTCGCAACCATTAATTCAATAATTGATGCACTTTCAAGTTGCATTGAATTGTAACATTCGCCCGGAAGTACATATCGACGGAAAATAAAGCTAGGTTCTAAAACGACTGGCTAGCGTCTAAACACAGCTCTACATGCTTTTCACCGTCTCTGCCAAGCCAGTTCTTGTGGTGGTTTTCCTAACATCGGGTCGACAAAACGTTACTGCTCTCCGGCTTCGACCAGAAGGCTCAAATTAACTAAATTATATGCAAAAATAGTGAGCTCATGCCTGGGTCTCACTATCCCCAGACCATGAGGTCACTCCTAAAAACAGGGCTACTACTATTTATTATATTACGATTGTTTCTGTTCAGTAGATAAAAATCATCATCTCCATCGAAGATGGATCAACCCTTTCCCTCACTCCTAGCTTCTCATTCTCTGAAAATGAATCGGGATGTTAATTAAATTCAACTCAGGACATGACTAGGAAGCTAAAAGTTTATATATAACAATATGAGTTCTGGGCCCGAGACCCCTCCGGATTCTGGAATCCGCGGAAATTGCACTCCTATTTCTTTCCGGAAGGCTTGACACGCCGTCAAAACACCCTTCCCTTCTCTCGGGTTCTACGTTGTAACGATTGTAGCGGCACAATCGTTACAACTCGGAGTGGTTCTTGACAATCTCCAATTACAATTTCTGTTTGTTGTCGTTTTCTCGTAGTTGTTTTCAATGCCACTATTATTGTTGTTTCGCCGTTTCAGTGTGTGTGAAATATAAAAAGGTTAGAATTTCAGTTAAAACTAATCCTTCCCGATTTGTCTAAGCGGTCAAATAACGCTGCTTATCCATTAAAACCAGCGATCTTCCTGGTTAAATGTTCTTTTTCTGATCGATAAAAATTCGATTGCGAAACCGCATTTTCGTACATTCTGGTCGAATGTCACAAGTCTTTCAGAAAAGCAAATATTAGCCATAAGTTTTTTGCTTGCACATTATTAGATTTTTCCAAAATGCTCGACTCTTTTGATCATAAGTTCCCAAAGCAAAAAACTTATAAATCTGTTTCTTTTTTCTGAAAAGGCAATGGAAATGATAAATTTTTTCATTGCAAAACGTAAAGAGAAATCAATTGACATCAATTTTGATTCAAATTGAATTGTATTGCACCAAGCTGTCCCTCGGCAAGCTTTCGGGACTGATGATTTTTAATCTGTTTATCAACGACCTAAGCAAACAATTAGCAACCTCATGCAAATTAGTACAGTACGCAGATGACACGCCACGCGTAAATCAAAACGCCGGTTTAGCTACAAAACTACTAGAAAAAAATTGCAGAAGGTAATCTTTTATTATGCCTTCATTACGACTGAACACTTCAATCAACCTCAATTGTTCTTTTTACCTATTTATGAATTTTTTGTTGGCTCCAGAAACTTTCGATGTCGGTCCAAAAATTCAGTTCTCAATCTCCTCACAGAATGACTCATTTTTTGCTTATTGATAAGCGTTTTGCTTGAAATTACTTTTTTGATCTATTTGTTTTTCTGTTTCCAAATTTTTTACATCTGAAGTTTTGACTAGATATGAATCGTACATTTGCTCTGATGTTAATTTTGGGCGACCCAAAGTTTTGAACTTCTGAAAAATTGGTATTTGACCAAAATTGTCAACGATTCCCTATTATAACACGAACTGCTCCCTCTTCCTATCATATAGATATGCTCGCGCATCTGCTGCGAGTTTTGTGTTTTGACGTTCCAAAGTTTCTGCTGGAAGTTGTTTTCGAAAATGTCTGGCTTTTTAATTGACCTATTGTGATAGATAAACTATAGATGAACTATTGATACCCTGATATTACTGTAACCTGTGGTCAAGACTGTGAAAAATGTATTCAAATCTTTTTTTTTCATAAAAATAAATCTATATCTATCTATCTATCTATCTATCTATCTATCTGTCTATCTATCTATACTTAATTTAAATGCAAGTGACAGCTATCTACCCATGTGTAAACTATATCGTATATTGCAATGGTTAAGATTTTTTCCGATTTTCCTGTTTGAATTCTGTGTTTTTTTACCAAGTTTGAAATTAGCAACCCAATAATGGGATGCTGACAGGACTTCCCCATGTTTTGGGATTTTGGCCTCCGTATATGAATAACCAAATCCTTTTAGTTTAAGAGATACGGCAATTTTCGATATATTTCAAAAATTTCTAGAACACTTAAATTTGAAAAATTTTAAAAAATTTGAAATTATCAACCTTGTAGTTGGGTGCTGTCAAGGTACTCTCACTGGCTGTGAATGTTTCCGCTGAGTATGACTGCCCAAATCTTTAGTTTTCTAGATATGACGTTTTTCTAGGATTTTTTAAAGAACTTAAATTTTGAAATTCACAAAATTTGAAGTTCCCATCTCTATGGTAAAGCTCTGCCAAGGTACTCCCAAGAGTTGCGTTTTTTGCCTCCAAATATGATTGCTCAAATTGTTGTACTTTTCGAGATATGGGTTTTTTGTGATTTTCTCAAAAAAAATTTATGATAATTTAAATTCAACTTTTTTCTTCAAAATTTGAAATTCCGATTTTTGTAGTAGGGGCCTTCAGTGTACTCTCAAGATCTCAGGAGTTGCGAGTCTTGCCTCCAAATATGCCTGCTCAAATTCTAGTAGTTTCCGAGATATGATGTTTTCTGATTTTTATTAAAATTTTTCAGAAAACTTGGATTTAAAAAAATTCAAAAAGATTTGAATTTCTTGACCTTGTAGTCAAGTACTGTGAAGGGTACTCACAGGAGCTCCATGTTGAAAGTTTTGCGTCCTAAAGCGACTGCTCTTATACTTTGAGTTTCCGAGATGTGACGTTTTGTTGTCAGTTTTTTCAAATATTCAAAGAACCCTTATTTCAGGCTTTGTAGGGCACTCCTAGGGGTTGCAATTTTTTCTTTAAAATCTGACTGCTTGAATCCTCGTAGTTTTCGAGATATGACGTTTTGTTCAGAAAACTTAAATTTGATTTTTTTTTAAAATTTGGAATACCTAACCATAAAGTTGGGGGCTGTCAGAGTACTCTCAGGGGTTGCGAATCTTGGGCACTTATCTTGGTTTTTCAAAATTTTTTTAAAAAACTTCAATTTGAAGTTTCTCAATTTCTGAAGTTCTCAGCCATGTATTTGGGTACTCTGAGTACTCTCAGAAGTTGCAAATGTTGCGTCCAAATGCGGCTGCTCAATTGCTTTTAGTTTCTGAGATGTGACGTGTTGCTGTCGCTTTCAACGAACTTCGAGATTAAAAAATTCACAAAATTGTATGGTTTTTCAAAATTTGAATTAATAAAAGTTAAATAAATAACTTAGCAAAATTTGAAATTACCAACACTGTAATTGGGTGCTGTCAGAGTACACTCAAAGGATGCAGATATTATTTCCAATATATGCGATTTCTTATGAGTTGTCATAAATTCGACGCTAAGTTACACGCTAGTATATTTTTATTTCATCGGTAAAATATATCTATTAAATATATTTTTGGTATTTCTTCTACAAAAAATGTGTTTAGAGAATCATTTATTGATAATCGCGTTCACGGTCATTACATTCCAGAGACCTATATTACATACAAAAAAGGTTGTCCCTCGAAATTAATGGAAAGAACACATTTCCGACGATCGCGAAGAACTTAATCAAAAATAATTTTTACAATAATTATTATGATAAATTAATTGTTTTGTTTTTCTCTGTCAAAAATAGTTAATTGTATTGTTTTCATTGCCAAAATATTTAAGTTCAATAAATTTCGTTACAGCCCTGCCTGTGGTCATCTTGAAATTACCGAAAGTTTTTAGGATAGGAATGGCTGACTCGCCGACCATAAAAATCTTTATCAAAACTCCTAATGATAAGCTTACAGAGGAAACAAAAGATCGACTAGGGATTGAAGTTAGTCCAGACGAAAAAGTATCCAAGGTTTGTTTGCTATTGCGCGTTTAATATGCGCTCCTTAGTTTTCTACTTGTGTCAAATTTTGTTTGCTAATTTTGTCTTTGTTTGCAGGTCAAAACCCTCGTGGCAGAGCGGCATAATGCAACCGGGAAAACTATTCTTCTGATATATGCCGGGAAAATTTTGAAGGACGAAGACACTTTATCTGCTCTAGGTATTTCATGCTTTTTGATTGAATTTCATCTCATAAATCAAGCAGCTTTGTTTTTAAATCTAAAACTTATTTCAAGTGTTTGCCGCTTTTTCATTTTTGTTTTGGAAAACACATCTTTGTAGACATGACTACTTTTGTTTACCTAGGCATAAAAGACGGCTGTGCCGTACACATGGTAATCAGAGGGCAGAACACAGCAACCAATACCTCTGCTGCTGCTCCCAACAGTTCAGCTTCTACTAATTCCAACGTATCATCCAATAACTCAACCTCGAATACTAACCCCACACAGAACACGAGGCCAGGAGGAGCTGCGGGTCTGGGAAGCGCCGCCGGGTTCAACATGTTTGGATCTGGGGGAGCAGGAGGAATGGGTGGGGACTTTGGACAGATGCAACGCCAAATGCAGCAGCAAATGAGGGGTGAGCTCAATATAATATATTACAAAATATTTCAATTCTGGATCTTTATTAACACGATCCGCTTATACACGATCCGTTTGTAAGTAGGCATGCATTAATTATTGTTTAGACAACCCGCAGCTGTTGCGACAGATAATGGACGACCCGATGGTGCAGAGCATGATGAGTAACCCGGACTTAATGAGAAACCTCATGATGAGCAATCCACAGATGCAGCAGGTCATCCAGGTAAGTCCTCAGCGATAACCGAAAGTTTTCAGATTTTAATTTGACAGAATGTAATTCGTATTATTTTTGTATTATGTAGTCTAGTGTTTTTTTTCTGAAGCAATGACTTATTGTCTTAAAATACGTTCTAGGTTTTTATGGTTATAGTTAACGTGAAATCTGGAGGTGTTTGAAGTGTCCAATGCAGATGGTTTCAACTGAGCGTATATATAAGCAAATGATTGATGTTTAGCAAAACCCCGAGATAAACCACCTGCTGAACAACCCGAGTCTTATGAGGCAGACAATGGAGATTGCGAGGAACCCTGCAATGAGGGACGAGATGATTCGACACCAGGATAGAGCCATGTCAAACCTCGAGAATCTACCAGGGGGCTTCGACGCCCTCTCTCGACTATTCAACGACGTCCAGGTACCTTCAAAATCCTTTCCTTCGATAGGTTTTCCTAGTTTTATGTCCTTGTTTCATATTCATTACACTTGCGAGAGCAACTGTCTTGTTTTTCAGTGAAAGTCAAGTTACGTACTTCGAAAGTGTCTGTCGAATTGGGTGGAAATTAGTTTAATTTTCAAGTTAGACTTAACTTATAGTTTTAAGCGGAATAAAGAAATTACCCATTAATCCAGTAATATTAATTGATTGTCAGTTGTAAACATTTACAGTGGTAGAAATAAAGGAAATGAGTTTTTTAGGAAAAAAATACATTGCTACTCCAATTTTTTCTTGGCGGTTTCATTGTTCATGAGTGCTTTTCGATTGTATGTTGAATGTTAAATGATTATTCATTCAACTTATAGGAACCAATGCTAAACGCTGCTCAAGAACAGTTCGGAGGCAGCAATCCCTTCGCAGCTCTGGCCGAAAATAATACCAATTCCATAAACAGCCAACAAGGTAGAGAAAACAACGAACCCTTGCCCAATCCATGGACAGGCGGCGGCGGATCCACTGCAGCAGGAGCAACAACAACAAACTCTACTAGTCAAGGGTCTGCTGATAGTGGAACGGGAGGCACAACTGGTACAGGACCTGGATCTGGGGCTAATTTGGCTAGTCTATTCGGAGGAGCTGGAGGAATGGGAGGTGGTCCGGACTTCTCGAGCTCACCGGGAATGCAAAGCTACATGCAGCAGATGATGTCGAATCCTGAACTAATGCAGCAAATGATGAGTTCACCGATGGTTCAAAACATGATGCAACAGATGAGTTCGAACCCGGCTATGATGCAGCAGATGATTGATAATAACCCCATGTTGAGGAACAACCCGACGGCACGCGAACAGCTCACGTCGCAGGTATTCACATCTGAGGGGAAAAAAAACGTAGATCTGCGAAAGTGTAGCATCTAGATGTAATGGCGGCATTGCTTTCAAATGTGAACATATCTAAAAAATAAATTACCATCATAACATTTATCAAGATTAGATCTAGAAGTAGAAAACGAAAACGGCTTTCAATGGAGTTCGCAATCTGTCTCTTACTTTGTCCAATGACTCAAATCTTATGTTTTAATTATTTTTTTATTAATGAATATCGAAACCTGTAAACAGGTTTATTTTTTAAATTTTTCCGTTTTCATCAGGAAGTTTTCATGTCGCCATTTCGAGAGTTGAGAAAATATCTTTTCCACTTTCCTCAAATTTCAAATTTTATAGTTTCATAATTTTTTTAAACGTGTTATGGCTAAATGCGTGATGCTACCTTCTAAAGTATGAAGAACAAATCCGTTCACAATTTTGTTTAAATAGTTTTTCGAATTTGAGTTTAAAATTTGGGAGAAAGTGGAAAATAGCCAAAATATCGCCTTGTGTTGATTCAATGTATTGTTTATTGTGTAGATGCAAAATCCTGACATGATGCGTCTCATGAGCGACCCAGAGTCCATGGCAGATCTGATGAGTCTCCAACAGACCTTCCAAAGACTCTCCTCCAGAGCCCCCGGTCTGTTCAACCCTGCCGCGGGGGCGGGGCTGTCAGGCGCCGCAGCTACTACCCCTGGAACGACGGCACCAACAGGTACTGATACGACCACTCAACCTGCCCCCGTCAACACGACCACCGGTGGCACTCCGAACCCGACTGCATCTGCTGATATTTATTCGAATTTGGCACAGCAGTTTGCGCAAGCTATGGCTACCCAGAATCAAACGGTATGTTATGTTTGAACAGGTGATATTTGCGACCGCATTCGTAATAAATTTTAGTCAATCAAAGTTAATTGTTCTTCCTTTATTACAACTTTTTCTGGTATCTTTATGGATTGAATAATCATCCACCTCCACATCAACAAAGGATCTATATTTTTGAAGGTCAAACTTTTCCCAGTGGTCAGATTGTAAAGAATTTTTGTTTGTAGTTTTTTGTTTAATTGTAATTATATTTGGTCTTCATAACCAGCTTTGCCAACACCACTGATGATCCGACCTAGCTGGTTGTTGTCAAGTTGCGTGAACAAAAAAAATGTAAGTGAATTGGTTTCAGCCTCCTGAAGAGAGATTCCGTCAACAATTGGAGCAACTGCAAGCAATGGGATTCTTCAACAGGGATGCCAACATACAAGGTCAGTGGTTTCACCGACGTATCGTAATTATCAGTCGAAAACGGTTGACTTTGAATTCACAATTGCTTCAAGCTTTGAGTAATCGACCCTGCATAGATAAAAATATAATAACGACATGAATTTCAATGTGTAGGTCGAGTCTTTTTTCAGGAAAGAGTTTAAGTTATTAATGCTAAAGTTTTGATTTTTAACGGTGTGATATTCTATTTCTTTTCAATTCAAATCATTTGCCAAATGGATGGTAAGTTAAGCTGCGCTGAAATCAAGTGATCTTTTTACAAGTGTCAATGAACTTAGTGAAGACTGATGTCGGTCGTGTTTATTTATTAAGAGTCGATGAACGTAGTGAAGACTCTTTGATAGGTCTTGGTGATTTATTAAAAATTTTCCTGCAAATGCCTTAAATTGCTCTAGTAACTATAGCATTCAAATATAATAATGCGTTTGTATGCACTCATCAAGTATATATGCACTTTTTGAGTTCAATGCAAATTCATCTGCTATAAGTCAGTCAAATTGTGCTCTCCAATAACAAAAGCGGAAATGGCGCGACAAAACGTGATCAACTTTTAATTCTAAAGTGTATTTTGATTTTCAGACGGAATAAAAGATTTACCTATTGATTCAGTTTTCTCAAATTGCTTCAATTTTAACAAAAATGTGTCAATCATAATCTGTTTTTGAAATTCAGAGAGCTCTGAGGCTATATGTTTTTTTACGTGAACTTCGAACGTTTTTTTTTCTAAAAAACAACAGTTTGTTATGTTTCATTCAGTTCAATGATTCTTTCCCAGCATTCATTTGGCTACTTTTTAAAAAATCATTCTTAAAAATTGTTCACGGCTGAATTTGAGTTTCGCAGTTTGACTTCCGATTCGTTTTTAAGGCAAATTACGCTTTCCAGTTATTGAAGTTCAATAGCCATGAAAATGTGAGTGATGTAAAGTTCTGAAAGCGAATTTAAGATTTTAGATTTCGTTTCGGAAGAAAGTTTACCTATCTATCTAGTTTTCTCTCATGGGTTAATTCAGCAAAATGTAACAATCGTTAAAGGTTCTTGAATTTCAAAGAGTTTTCGGACCATATACATTTTTTGTTTGAATTCGGTTGTTGTTTTTTCATAAATATGTCTTTCAAATAGTTTTTTTATGAGGTCGAAAATGAAGTTCAATGACCTTTTTCTAATTGTGCATGCTGGCTCTGTTTTTGAAGCTAGTTGAGGTGATGACTGTACAAGCAGTACAGACTGTTACGACCTTTACGATACGAGAGTCAATTAATGGAGTGATTACTTTTAGATAGATCGTGATTACACCTGCGATCAGCTTAGTGTATTATTACGAACCTTCTTTTTTTCTAACCTAACTCGCAAATGAGAATGTTCATTAAAAGTGTTCAATTATTTGGAAAGTTCACTGTAGCATTGGAAAGTGCATAGCATCTGTTTTCTGCGTTGTGGCTAGTATTTGGTGCCCTTCAAGGGTCCGTGGCTGAGTGGTTAGTGTGTGAGACTATTAGTCGCAGGTTTGAATCTCAGACTTAGCCGAATTTTTACTAATTCGAGGCGTATAATTCGAGGCGTATAATTCGAGGCTTCAAACATAGTATGAATAGTTTCAGTCATATTTAGCTTAAACATCACGATGAAAATGTCTTTTCAGCCCTTGTGGCGAGCGGCGGAGACGTAAACGGAGCTGTCAACCGACTTCTCGGAGGGTAGAAGGCTGCAGTTGTTTTTATCACACAACACGGGAATGCTTATGGAGCACTTGGGATAACCTTGAAAATATACCCACAGAAGGACAACGTCATTGAAATGCATAGACGAAATCATAAAAAAACTGAGTTATCACGATTTTATTATTATTATTATTGACTGAAAATTGTTTTAGGTTTTGAGAGTTAAATTGTAGAAGTTGCTAATACATATTGATATTGCTATAATAGATTCGAAATACATTGCATTTAATGCTCGTGTTATACTATGCTATCAATATTTTTCACAATGGAGTGTCATTTTTGGTGTTGATATCAGAAAAGGTTTCGATGAATCACATTTTGTTAATTTGAAATAGATTGAAAAAGTGCCGAGAAAAAGTGACATTTCAGCTTAGATTTTTTGTTCCCTTTCATGACTATTTTGCAGTTCTGCTGCTGTCCTTGTGCTAAATAGTATCCTTCAATTTTTTTCAAATTCGCCTGTTAAATGCTTGTTTTGTCTGCACTTAGATGCGAAGTTTTGCCAGAAAATTGAAAATAATTTTCCTCTGTTGAAATTAAGTTTAGGTTGCTAAAACAAACAGAAATATAGCAGTGAAATATAGGCTTTGTATTGCGTTCTCAGCCGGGAAACCTAAATAAGTGTATCATCATTAAATAAGCGGGAATGAAATAACCAAGAAAAAATCTACCCTCGAGCTTTTATATTTGCAGTGTCAATTCAGCGATGATAAGTTTTTATCTCTTCGTTTCCTTGTCCAAATCAATAATTTTGTCATAATCCGCCGGTGAATGTGTATGTTGCCATCCTTAAATTGCTGTTTATATAACAAATTTCAAAGATATTAAATCCTCGATCATTTAATTTAGCATATTGATTATCCATTGTTTTCAAACGATAAAGAGCGTGTTTTCAAACGGTGGTGGCTTTTTTGAGTAATGAATTTTTATAATTTAGTGTTTTACGTATTGTTCTGACTTTCATCGAAAATGAGGAAATTATGAGCTAGGGGTCATGTTTAAGAGTCATGAACATAACGAATACGCTTATATAGTTCATGGTGATTTTTTTTGCACAAAATCCGAGCGTGCTTAAATTTAATTTTTGACTTTTGATCTCTTCTTAAGCTCAATTGTTTAAAGCTAGGCAAACTACAATATCGAACAGCAAAAGTGTACAGATCACGAAAAACTGGATAATTTTCTAGTTTTGAAGGTAGGATTTAATGAAAGTGGGCTTCCCAGCGGAAAAAAATAACCCTATTGATCCAGTTTTCCCAAACTGGGTTAATTTTATCAAAACATTGTCAGTAATAGGTTTTTATTGAACTTCAAAACCCCTTAAGGCAATATTTTTTGAAATTCGAAACCAAGTTTTCTGTTTTGTTCCGCTCATGACTCGCTTCCAATTGTAGGTTGGTTATGTTGTAATTCAGACCAATGTTAAAATAACTTGAACGTCTCTCCTGGAACCTTCGGAGTTTCAGCTGTGTGTGCTCGAACTGTCCTAACTAGGGTTGGAAGCTTCTTTCAATTTATAATAGCTCAATACAGAAATTATTTTTACGTGGCGAATTATCCCGCGCTCATAATCATTACAAATTAAATTGAGGCAAACAAAATTGTTCATTTAAATTCCAAATTTTGCTGACACTTCGAAAAATAATGTCAGAATGTTTAAAACCACATTTTTTCAACAGCTAATTACGAACTGAAGAATGTAGTTAAGCAAAAGTTCAAAATTTAAAAACAGTTTTTTGTTTGTTTTCGGCTCAATGAGCGGCTTGGAGCGGCTGTTTTTGGCTCATTGAATGCATTGTTGTCTTAGTAGCCGCTCATTAGAAATTTAAAGACTTAATTTATGCTGTTGATTGTTTTTGTTGATTTTTTTTGAACAATTTTCCATTTTTTCCAAAAAAAAAAACATATCGATTTTATGATTTCCGGCTCATTTTCTATTGGCTAGCTTGCATAGCTGTGTTTGCGTTGTATTGCTAGTGATTTGAAGCTTTGCTTCGCCTGTTTGTACGTAACTATAAAAATCTGAATGTGGGTTTAGCCCAAACAGGTGATCTACAATTTTGAAATCCAGCATGCTTTTTATAGTAAGAAAAACTATGCGACTTCCGTTAAGGGAGTAAGTCAAGCTTTTTCCAATATCAGAGCAGTGTGTCCGCATAAGCGAAGCTAATCATTTCTGCCTGGTTTTCATGCGGCGAGCATGGCGTATAAGTAAAACATTCGCGTATGATGCCATAGTGATGGTGTGAAAAAGTCACGTAATTTCTGGAACTTTTTTTCTCAAACCTTCATTTTCGTTAAGACATATTTGTATAATTTCCTGAGTTCTCTGTCAATTTAGTGTGTGATGTTAAGTGTAGCTGCGCTACTTCGAATTTTGCATGTGTGCGAATTTTGATTTGCGTTATTTTTGTAGATCGAACTCTACAATATTTAATAAGTTGAAAAACAACTGGACAGGGAAAACGCTCTTCTTTTTAGAATGCCTGTTGATTACACAAGCATAACGCAGTCCGATAGTACGGTGCAACTTTTTCAAACCTAAGTCGCAAATATAAAAATTTAAATGCAACTTTTAAGGGCGCTTTTGAATCAGTAGGCTACAATTGCACTTCAAGCTTGTGCTTTCACATTTGATTAGTAACAAGTTGACACAGTTGATGCTTTTTTATTTCAATGAACTGGTGAAAGGAGTTTGTTTCAGACAACAGTATTATGATTAAAATCTCCTTTCAGAAGTTTTCCAAAGCCATAATTTTGCGACATTTTTGAAACGCAAAATTTATATCAATTTGGTTGAATCTGTTCTAATTTACTGCAAAGTTAGTGTGCCAGACTTCAATTTTTTACATTCCAATTTTTACATGCATTTTTTCAATTTTTCCGCATTTTAAAGCTTTTGAGAATCCGAAGTTTTGCCGTTTTCTCGCTCGTTTTTGCAAAGATGCAGCTTCGTCTCAGTAGTAGTTCTGTTCCCATTAAATATGATTTTTAACTAATTGTTTTCCTGAGTAACTAAATAGTTTGTTGAGTTAATTTTCAACAAAATTTCGGATATTCCGGGCTGCGATCTGAAACGAGCAGTTTTCTTGTTTCGACCAGTTGATGGAATAAAGAGAATGAACTATCGCGTAGGTTGTGTTAAGAGCTCTAGTGTGTTATCAATTTGAATTTAAGTCCTTTAGTTTTAAACTAAATCAAATGAGATGTACATATTTCGTCGGTATTTAGTGCCTCATAGACAACAACCGGCCAACCTTTTTTATTTAGTTTACATTTGAAGCTGTCTAATAATGATTTTTTTTCATGCATCTTCATCAATCCAGAATTACACAGAACATTTCTTCAACTGATCAAAATTTATTAAAAAAAAACTCATATACAAATTTTGAGATAAAATTGTCTTAGAAAGGTTTCAGATGTTGTTAACTGCCAGTTTTCCTTTGTTTCAGTTGGCATTTGATCCTTGTTTCTGGTGCATGCAAATATTTAAAATTTTGTTCCTTCCAATCATATGTCAATGAACAAACTGGTGAAACTTATTTAGGTCGGGTGGTTTTTTTTTGTTTTCAATTATTTGGTTCTTATCAGTTTTAGTGTTTTTTTTAAGTTCAATTTAATTTCGGTTGTTAAAGGAAAGCAAACTACGCTCTTCAAGAACGAAAATAAAAAAATTGTGAAAAAAATGCGAATAATTTTTTGTTTCAAAAATGATTTTATTTTTCAAAGAACTTTTAGTGCGTTGTATTTTTTGAAATTTGATGTTAAAAAACAATCATAAGTCAATTTTTCCCGTTTTCATTGAGTTTTGTTGACCGCTTTTTCACAATTTTTTAATTGCCATGGTTTTTTTTAGCTTGCAGGTATTGTTTGGAGGTTTTCAAGCAAAAATGTACAAATGGTTTCCGTTTTTAAAATTAAAAATACTTTCGTTGGTCATAATTTTTTGCGTAGGGTCGTCTAGTTTGTAAGTAGAACATATAATTTTGCAAATCAGTTGGGTGTTGAATCGATTGGACGAAAAATGTGTATCGTCAAATTCTGCGAGTGAATAACACGACGAGTAATAAATTATGCGGAGCAGCTACATCATTATGAAAACAGGTAGCTCGTTTGAAACCGAAATTGCTTATTGTTTCGACCATTTGAAAAATGAGGAAGAAGTTTGTATTCGGGTTTGTTTTCGTTTTTTCTTTTTCGTTTTCCACGCAAAAACAGCTACCACAATTAATCACCGGATAGAGTTGAGTGATAAGTTATGATAAACCTCTTGCATTCGTAATTCGAACGAGATTTAAGAAAAACTTCAAAAAGTTTTCCAGTGCCGAGAAAAACCGGTTGGAAATTTTTGGTTTTTCGTCTGAATTCGAGCGAATAAAGCGAGTGAGCAGCCCTACAATAGCTTATTTTAATGGCTAGACTTTTACAACAGCCTAATTTAATACGTAAAAATTTAGTTTTAGTCGATTAGCTAGTATTCTACCGCTTCTTTGGAATTAAAAAGGTTTTAAAAATTCAAAATACTGCAAAAATTGAAAACATTTTTGATTTTTTTCTTTTTTCTAATCTTTTTTCTACAAAAACTGTTCTTCGATTTGCTAATTTTACTATGACTGCCGAACAAGCCTAAATTGACTGCCTAAACAAGCCTAAATTTTTGTTCAGCTCCTTTTATGACACAATACCAAAAAAAACACTAATTTGAAAAACAATTTTTTTGTTGTATTTGTTAAGACTATGGTCGGAACATTCGGTGTTACTCGCACATTAGCCGGCTATTTTTGTTTTATATAGTTATGGCTAACAAACGCTGGCGAGTATACAATTTTTAATTCAGTGCTTAAAAATTGCTTCTGTTTTTCCATATAGTCGGTCATTTTTTCGCAGTTTTTGTTCAACGTTTTGTGGTTACTTTTATCCACAATTAGAAAAATAGGCTCTATTAAATAATTTGAAGGATGTAGTTAACGCCTTGCAGTGCCTAAACGAACACCAGCTTCCGTTAAGAGGAATCACCCTGTAGTTAAGCCTTGCATACATAAGTTAAAACCAGGTGAATCTTTCTTGACCTGAAAATTGATTAGCAACATTTCTTGAGCTGAAAATGAGTAGCGACAAGATATCTAAATCTGGTTGGAATAACCCTTTATGATGATTGCATATATTTGAGTTTGAGGTTAGGTTCATTGCCACTGCATCAAATACAAACACTTCCATCTCATAATCTGGAATTAGTTCAAAACTTATGATCGGACTAATTTAGGTGTTTGAACTCTTTAGACGGATATCCACAAAAGTTAGCAACAAGTAAGTTCTTTTTGAAGTTGTAAATTTTTGATTTCACTCAAAGTCGACAATTTTTTACTTCCTTTCGAAACGGTGATTAATTTGATCACGCAGAAACAATTGAATAAAATTTGAAGAAAAAAAATCATAAGTTTTTCGCGAGGTACAGCAACTTTTTCGCATCTCCCCGTGGCTCAAAGATTTTTCAAATTTTTCTTGTTTTGCAAGTGCTATCTTGCAACTAATAAATTTTGCAAATGTTATCTGGTTTGGCTAGATAAGCTGTTTTTAGTATTTTTGTTTCAAATTTTTTTTTTGAATTTTGACATCAACGGGTATGTGACTAACATACCTTTTTTAACAAACAAGCATTGACTTGAATATACTGTTTGATCGGTCAACTTTTTCTTTCTGTCGATTCTTATTAGTTGAATTTGCGAAACCAATATTAAAAAACGGAGAACCTGAGAAATTGTTTCTCTCTCGTCCTAATTAATGGATTCGGAACAACCAGACAATGAGATGAGTCTCTGCATTTCGACCAATCAGAGCGGAGATCACAAGAATGAATGTCTCAATGGAGAAGCTAGTAATGATCCGTCGAAGGAGTGGTTACATAGTCTGTGGTGGCAAGTCAGCAATGCACAAGAGGAGAAAAACTTCTATGACAGGTAATTTTTTTAACCTTCGTTACCTTTTTTAGAAGAGCAGCTCATTTTTAAAGCCAATATTGTAACTGTGAGATTGTGGAGTGAAATTGAACATTTTTCAAAATCCTACTTTGAAAACAATTTGTGAAAATTTGTCCGCGGTGTGCTTTTTTGGAAAAAAAATATAACTGCGATTCTATTCTTGCAGAAATAGAGTGTTTTAAAGTTAGTTTACCAATTTGGTATAAAAACGCATTTTCACAAACTGTGAGTTATTCGATGTCACGGAACATTTCAAATTAAATGGAGTCAAATTAATTGATTCAAACACCGCATTATTGGTGCAAAATGAAGAGTAAACGTTTTTAAAATGTGGCGTGGAAAAGTTTTGGAAAAATAAAACGAATTTTTTGATTTTTTTTATACTACTAAAACAATTTTGCAAAAACCTACACCATAACTGTTAAAAAGCAGTCGTTAAATTGAACAGTAATTTCTTTTAAAGTTTCAGGTTTTAGGGTTTTTTTTTATTCAGATCAGTTTCGAAAAAAAAGTCTGTGGAGTGGAAATTGAACCTGTAAGCTGTTCGTTAAATGTTTGATACCTAAATTGCGACCTAAGCGACTTTTTTGTGCGTGGCGAAAAGTATTTTTAATAGTGGCAAACTATTTCTTGCAAAAATTATGGGAGACAAGCTGATGGGCAGTCGGATTATTCAGTCCTTTCCTCTGATTAACGAGCATTCTTTTTGTTTCGAGCACGCAGAATGGATAAGAACGTCGTATCCGGATGTCTTTTTTCCAGACAAAATCAGATACACAAATAATTATCATAATGGGTCGCGTAATATATCATATTAAAGTTATTTCAGTTCCGACTTTTTAAAATTTTTAAAAGTGTCGAGGAAACCAGGTTTGAAGTGTTTGTTTTTGAGTCTATACTTTTGAGCTATTTTTTCTATTATTTATGCTGGTAGTGGTGTTGCAATAGCAAAGAGGTTTTTTAAGCCATGAAAAATTAGTGTTGAATTTTCATACAGCGATTTCTTGGTTGGAACTTTCTGCACTACTTGCACAGCAAGCGTCTACTATAGTTTCTTTTACATTTATTTCAAATAGCTAATATATTTCCGCTTAATTCTAGCGCCATGACTGCTGCCAAAATTTACTACCAAGTCATGTGTGAAACACTGAAGTTTTTTAAAATTGTTTGTTACTGATGATTGCGAAATTAAGCTTCGCTATTGTATCAAAAAAATTAAAGGCGAAAAAAAACGAAGCTAAAAAAATCGCACATAAAAGCTTCTTCAGTAGGTGGTTCTTTTTTAGTCTAAGGCCAAAACTTGAAACTATGGTTACGCATTACGTTTCGAAAAACGATTTAAAATGCTCTTTTTCATGATGAAATGGCTTAGATTAAACTATTTGAATACTTCACAGCTAGATTAAAACTCTGGAAGGGACTTTGAACTTAAATTGGTAGTTTTTTTTACACCCCCGCACCCCCCTCCCCAGTCGTAAAATCAGAAGACAGAGAGAGAAGGGTAAGGCTGGGAGAGGGGCTATAATGGGAAAGACCCGATGAACAACAAATGTGTTTAAGATGACAACAGATGCGCGATTTAAATCTAAATTAAAAAAAAGTCGCTTCAAGTCTGGAAAGAGTTTCAAAATTTTTGGTTTGCTGCGTCTAGATCAGCTAAAAACTACGAGATTATGACTGACCAATTACACTGGCGGGCCCCCCAATTGTGCATGAAGACCATAGCCAACTGGGAACAGAAGAGTGGAATAACCATACCGAGGGAGTCGGTTGCGATCGGTGAGCCCTAGTTTAATTTATTTTAGCGCTTTTATTGAGTGATAAATTGTCCAAACCGAGCGTCAAAATCTAGAGTACCAGTTGCTATTAGCCAGATGATCGTCTGTTTCACTGCTTAACTGATGAAGAGCGAAATTACCATTGGTGACAATTTAGAGAACTATAAAATTAAATTTGTAAAACTGTGATCTGCCAGATTGAATTTGATTCAAAAAATCAAATTTTACAGTTGACTTTTGCAAAAAAATTGGCTTTGAAACAAATAACCAATACTGTTTGAAATATACATAAGAGCGATGCAGCTTGAATCTGCCAACTATTGGTATGTATCACCCAGTACTCGACTTGGAGGGGGGGGCAGTGAGGGGCAAATGCCACCCTCTCAGGGATTCGACCCCCCTGACGACCCAAAGGTACTATTTTAAGACATCTTTTTTGCTGGCCGACCAAAAAAATAGTTGGAAGGCGTTTTAAAATCGCCAAAATGGAAACTCAACGAAATTGAGGCGGCTTCGCTTTTGCTCTACTGGTATCGCCCGGGCCGTGGAATCTCTAGGTTCAAATCTATAATGCGTCATTTGAAGATTGAATTTTTTAAATGCTTTTGCTTATTAGTAGCTTAATAGCCATTAAATATAAAACTTAATAGCTCTATCACAAATGTTTGTGAAATCAATTTTTGTTGCTTTTTTGTTTTCAGCTCAACGGAGGACTCTCTTTCGAGGAATTTTGATTTCTTACTTGGTTCCCCAGCTTTCAATATTATGCTTCAGTTGTATGGTAATCGTTGCGAATTTCTGTTTTGCCTGTGTGTGAACGAATTCAATGAAACTTTTTGTTTTTTGTTGTTCTTTTTGCTCTCAAAAAATCCTAACACGCTTGATTTTATTTTTTTTGCGGTTCAGCCATAAATTCTTAGAAATTATTCACGCTCAATTTCGATTTTTTTTTGCAGTTGAAAATTTGATCTTTTGTGAAATAAAATTCAATTTTATTTGCTAGAAGATATAGTGTTACGAAAGTTCATGCTCGCCTGCGAAATGCTTGAATGATATAACTTTAAAAAAAAACAATTTTGATTTTTATACAGTTGAAACAGTGGAAAAAACAGTAAATTAAAAATCACCTTTTGATCCAGTTATTTCTTTTTGAGTTAGTTTCTATTAACACATTTTCAAATAGTGTTTTAATTCAAAAATAGTACCATATTAACATTTTATCAGTCGTGATTCGGCTTCTCAAAAAAAGTGTTTCAGTGTCTAAAAGATTTGGTCTGAACTTTCTGGTTTTTCAGACTTATGATTTTTCCGTGGGTGGATTTTTCAGATTCAAATTTTTGAACGCTTATTTCGTTTTTAAGAGCATTTTATCTATAGACGACCAGTTCTTTTGGCTCATGAACCATTTCAGTATCTTCTCAAAATTCATATGAATATTCACTTTTTTGTGTTTTTTATTTTGATTCTCCAATTTGCGCAGGCATCGACGATCCTTGTTTGTGATATTGATTATTCAATCGATATCTTAAAACCATTTTTGTCTTCTATGGGGAGGGGTTATAAGCGAAAAGATCACAGGCTTAGATTTGAAAATAAAACTTTAAAGTTGGGTTTCAGACCTTTATGAGTCTGTCTGCCCATTTGTAAAAAAACACACACTCGAAACCAATATTCAACCCACTAAAGTTGTCAGTCATAGAACGGTCCTAGTCAGGTTAATCAGTTTTGCGGAAGCAACTACATTTTCGCAACCTTTGTAAATCAAAATTCACTATGATCAAACCTTTGTAATCTTTCTGATATAACCACTCTTGAAACAAAGCAGAACTAAGAAAGTTGACTCTTGCAGCCATGTTTTGATGCTAAGTGGAAAGTCAATGAATTCGAAACATGGCTCCTAGAGTTACCTTTCTTAGTTTTGCTTTGTTTCAAGAGTGTTTACATCAGAGAGATTACAAAGGTTTGATCACAGTGACTTTTGATTGGGAAAGTTCTAGCTGCGTCTGCAACATATGGGCAGTCAATTACACTCGGTGCTTGTTGTATACCAGCAGTGCATGTTTTTGTTGTTGTTAAGTAAATTTCTGACCAAAAACTTCCTGTTGCTTAGATATTGGAGCTGGCACTGGTCTAAGTGGAGTGGCTCTGAGAGAAATCGGCTTCACTGGACCTGTAGACGCCCTGGAGCCATCTGCTAACATGTTCGCACTGGCCAAACAGAAGAAGATATACAGGCAGGCTTTCTTTTTTTAAATAAATTGATGATAATATTAAATTCTAACACCTTTTGTGATTATGTTAAACTTAAATTGTTTTTTTTAAAATTCTTTTCTCAGGAGTTTATGGGATGCAATTTATCATTTCAAAAATGACTCCAAATTCGGTTAATTTTTGCGTTTATATATACATTTTTTGAATAACTGACAGGACTTATAGGTTTTTTAACTCAATTGTATAAACCCACAGAGGTGAAAGTTTTGGCCATTATTTTCGAACTACATACCAAATTGCTCGACGAAAGTTGTTATTATGTTTATGCATGAAGCACAAGAAGTACACAAAGTATTCACGATGGCAGACTTCAACTTGTATATTTTCCTTTTTTCCGCATCCTCACATGAGAATTGATTTTATAGGGAATTTGCAAGGATAAACAAAGTTAAGTATGAAGACCAAATGCTTGCCATATGAAAACTTTTAAAAATTGGTTTTCGATTTTTTCGACTTTTCGATTTTTTGTTAATTGTTTTTCAAAAAATTAGTGAGAGCAATTTCAACTGGTTAATGATCCATAAGACTCAGTGAAAATAGCGTTGAAAAAGCAGCAGTTTCCAGTTTCTAATACCAACAGAATTAGGTTGGAAATTCAGTCTCAAATATCAAGTACAAAAGTTAGCCTGAATAAACCAATAAGAGCAGACCAGTTTGCTCGAAACTGAAGCAACTTTGTTTGATTTTTGAATAAATCCGAACAGTTACCAATGAGGCCTTTATACTAAACCCTAAAACCCTTTACGAGCATTCGTTGAGGTAGTCAAAATCGGGCTCAAATAACTAGAGGCCATTCCATATTCCCTTCCCACCCGTTAAGGTCGGAACAATAACTTGTCTGGGTTTTTCCCATTGTTTAGCCCAATAGCAGCAAAAAACACTTATAACTGTTTATTGTGATAAAATTTGAAAATTTTGGTTCGACTTAAACTTAGTTGCGTGAGCGAGAACTTTTTTTTCATCTTAGCGGAGAATTATTTTTTTTTTGCGTCATTATTCTTGGTACCAAATATTCAGTCCCCATTTTGTGTGTTTAGAGATTGGTATGGGGAAATGTTAGTGGAGGGGGAGGAGACTACAGTGCCTGGAGACATGTACGACTTGGCATTCTCAGTAGGAGTGTTCAGTGACAGATCGGCGAAGTTAGTTCACCTCTGGTCTTTTGACTTTTCCTCGCAGATTATCATTTGTTGCCGAAAAATTACGGATAGATAAAATTAATCAAAAAGCAAATAACCATCAATAACCAAGTTAGTAGTTTACTTCTGATATGTAGCAGATGTAGCAGAAGTCCTTGCAGATTATAGTTAGAAGCAAAAAAAACGGGCAGTCAAAATTGATTTAAAATAGCAACTAACCATTTTCAAAAAATTTTTGCATGCAGTCGCTAGTTCTTCAGACAAATTTTTTTCTCAATGTTGCTTGGAAATATTGCAATACTCAAGATTGCACGCAAAAATTATTCAAAATTCGCAAAATGCATTTTTCAGTTATTTTGACCTGTTCCAACATTTGCAACTCAAACTTTGTAAAACGCTGTAAAAATGGAATATTTTTGTGTGTCTGATTTTGTCTGCTCAAGTTTTAGCGATTATGTATACTTATTATGCATAAGAGAAAGTTCAAACATTGTAACTTTTCAAGTAAATCCAATCCAAAAATACGTGAGAAAAACGAACAAAAAGTGAACAAAAACATGCTTAAAATGCAGTTTTTTTGAGCCACATGATTTCAAAAGAAACATATTTATGTATTTTTTAATTTCGTCTTTTGTTCATTTCTTTCTCTTGTTTTCGATCTTTTTTGAAGACAATTTTTAGTTACCCATGCTTTATTGCAACATAAGTAGAAGAGTTATAGTATTTTGACTAGTATTTTCGGGCAATTTCTAAGTTTTCGAAAAAATCACTACAATTCTACAGGTGAGGTTTCTCAAATTTTGGATCTTGGGATTATGAAAATTCAATCATAAAATCATGACTATAATCAGCGCGGTTTGATAAAATATGTTAGTCAAACGATTTCAATCGATGGAAAAAAATGTTCATCATTTAATTCCATACCATATCATACGAGAAAATTTTTCATTAATGGAATCATATGACTGGCTTTTTTCAACTGATGGAATTTTATAAAAAGCATTTTTAAATGGACAAAAAAGTTGTTTTTGGTGTTATTTGTTTTATACTTTGATTTTTTGTTCTAATTACTTTGTCGATTATTAATTATGTGACATCGTTAAAGGTAAAATTTCAAAATTAAATTTTTCTGTGGAAATTTGGTTCGGGCACAGATCTACTTTAACAAATTAAATGCAAATTAAAAGATTTTCTCTCATTTTGAAGTTTTTGCCGGGAAAAAAACCTTATTTTTTTGTAAAGTTTAACAAATAAAAAAAGCTTTTCCAGCAAAAAGGCAATAAATTTATTCCGAATTTTTTGAGCTCTCATATATGTAAATTGTTTTCTAAGCGTTATATACGTTTTCTTTACAGCAAATTGTAAGAAATGCCTGTATTCAAGTAAATCCAATCCAAAAATACGTGAGAAAAACGAACAAAAAGTGAACAAAAACATGCTTAAAATGCAGTTTTTTTGAGCCACATGATTTCAAAAGAAACATACTTATGTATTTTTTAATTTCGTCTTTTGTTCATTTCTTTCTCTTGTTTTCGATCTTTTTTGAAGACAATTTTTAGTTACCCATGCTTTATTGCAACATAAGTAGAAGAGTTATAGTATTTTGACTAGTATTTTCGGGCAATTTCTAAGTTTTCGAAAAAATCACTACAATTCTACAGGTGAGGTTTCTCAAATTTTGGATCTTGGGATTATGAAAATTCAATCATAAAATCATGACTATAATCAGCGCGGTTTGATAAAATATGTTAGTCAAACGATTTCAATCGATGGAAAAAAATGTTCATCATTTAATTCCATACCATATCATACGAGAAAATTTTTCATTAATGGAATCATATGACTGGCTTTTTTCAACTGATGGAATTTTATAAAAAGCATTTTTAAATGGACAAAAAAGTTGTTTTTGGTGTTATTTGTTTTATACTTTGATTTTTTGTTCTAATTACTTTGTCGATTATTAATTATGTGACATCGTTAAAGGTAAAATTTCAAAATTAAATTTTTCTGTGGAAATTTGGTTCGGGCACAGATCTACTTTAACAAATTAAATGCAAATTAAAAGATTTTCTCTCATTTTGAAGTTTTTGCCGGGAAAAAAACCTTATTTTTTTGTAAAGTTTAACAAATAAAAAAAGCTTTTCCAGCAAAAAGGCAATAAATTTATTCCGAATTTTTTGAGCTCTCATATATGTAAATTGTTTTCTAAGCGTTATATACGTTTTCTTTACAGCAAATTGTAAGAAATGCCTGTATGAATTGTCATTCAGTTTTTATTTATGGAAAAAGAGCATAAACATTTTCTTGTATTGGGGTCAATTCGTTACGTTATGGGAAAAATATTCGCGACAAATCCTAATCGCTGCGGATAATATACATTTAAAAAGCACATTCCGGAGAACTCCCTACGAACAGATTCAGGGCGCATCCAGAGTTTTCTCGAAGTTTGGCAGATTTTTCAAAGTTTTTGTCGACCTTGTATTAATTTTTTTCTCCCCCTTAAATTTTAGAGTCCAACCGAAATACATTTCAACTCCTTCCCAAATTAGCATAAAATTTTTTCTTTAGGAAAGGCAGTTTGTCCGAAGTGGTGCGTATGGTTAAGAAAGGAGGCTACATAGCAGTCATCATGGTCGCCAGACACTGGCCTGAAGAATTTAGAGACCACATTGCTCTTATGGAGGGGGAGGGACTGGTTAAGACTCTTCAAGTGGATGCATTTGATTCCGACATGTATATGAGAGAAGTAGCAGCCGTCGCTTTTGTCCTGGAGAAACTGTGATAAATTTTAGATAATGAGGATTTATTTTTGTATTTCAACTGGTTGTATATATTTTTCCAGTAAATACAGAATGCTTAAGAGTTCAATTGGCTATTTACGAGATTTTAATATATATTTTTTTGTCTTACCATGTATAAAGAGGTGGATTCAATGGTGATTTGAGTCAAATTGCTTGCTTATTTTTTTCAGTTTTGAATATCATTCGCTTCCTGGAACTGTTTTTGGGTTTTCTCATTTTTTTTAGTTGTATGGGCATTTTTTTCCTTTTATTTGTAGTTATTTATCAATGATCGAAGTGACGGCGCTTACGTACGCTTTCTGCTTCTTCTAGTTCTTATTACCCTTGCGATAAGCAAGGGTATTGCAATCGGTTATTAGATTTTTCCCATGAACATTTTTGTTCGCAGGACTCATCTGACTCATCTTTACCTTTTTTCATAATTCATTCAAATTTCTCAGCGTTGTAATTTTACTTAGGTTGACTTCAAATTTCCTTCTTTGTTTTTTGTTTCCTTGGAAAAATTCATCGGCCCAAACTATTTTGGCTTATTTTCAGCAACCTAATGGCCTAATTTTGGGTCGTTTTAAGAAAAACACCATTTTAAAACTCCCCTCTACCCTTTTCAAAATGGTTGTATGTTTACCAATCGGTTTGTTGAAATTTTTGTTATGGAAATTTATTTCCAAACTTATTGGAAACTTTTTTAGTCTCAGAAATTGCTACTGATTTTCAAAAAAGGGGTATGTATGGAAAGACCGCTTGCTTCCCTGTTTGCCTGCATGCTCCCATTGAGTCGGTTTTTGCTTGACCCCTCTGTCTACAGCTCTCGAAAAAGTCTGTGGGGAATATTTGACCCCTATTTTTGATTTCTTCGTTTTATCGAAATCAAACCCTCCAGTGTTGAATTTTTGGTTTCAATGATTAAAACGGTTTTGAAAAACACCCCAGCATAAACGGCAACGCCCATTTTATTACACAAAAAGTTATCGCCCTCAGAAAAGTCAAAATTTAGATTTTTTGACATTTTTTCTAAGTTTGTTGAATTTTCTCCAAAACTACTCTGCCATATCAGAGATTTTGGGTCCAGTTCCAAGAATGGGTTGCGGGAAGCTCATTTTTGTTTGCGACTGCGCCCAGTTTTTTTGACATCAAAAGTTATGGCATTCGGAAAAGTAAAAATTTTGATTTTTGACCGTTTTGGACTTTTTTCAAGAACTATCTTCAAAATCTGAGTTTTTCTTGCAATCGAATTTGAAGTTTGCGTAAATCTTTTTTGCATAAGCGGCTTTGCCCTAATTTTAATTACCAAAAGCTATGATTCTCGGAAATTTCAATTTTTTTAATTTGTTGACCGTTTTTTGGGTTTTTCTCGCTAAATATGCTGCCAAATCTGATCTCATAGGTCTAAACCATAGGTGTAAATCATAGGTTGATATCATAGGGTCTCAAATCATAACAACATGTTGGTGTAAGCTTATTTTTTTTTGCTATGCCCAGCTTGTTTAAGACAAAAATCATGGCCCTCAAACAATTCGAAGTTTGGAAACTGACAGTTTTTTGAAAACTTTTTGACTTTACGCGAAAAGTACCTGGCAGTTATCAAGTTGTGTTCAATCTAGACATCCAGTTATGGGAATTTGATCTGCTTAAGCGGCCACAACCTGTTTTTTGCAGAAAAAATTATGGATTTTGGAAAGTCTTTTGACCGTTTCATAATTTTTTTTCTCACTTTAAAATTTACGCAATCAAATCTGAGATGAAAAAATCAATTAAATGAACCGGTTGCAAAAACTGTTTCTGCAGAAGCGGTGAATTCCAATTTTGTTCAATCATATGTTATCACCTTGGGTAAATCGATTATTTCAAAGTTTTAAAAATATTTTCACTTATTTTAGTTGAGAAACAACTAAGGTTCTGGGCAAAGTCCAATTTTTGAAATCTTTTTTTTTGATGTCTCGTGAGGCATCAGTTGACCAAATTTGTTCAATTTCAAACACTTAACCATAGCTATAGCTGGATAACTAGTTCTTTTTTCGAGGCATGCGAAAACTTTAACTCACCTAGTTTTTTTTTGAAAATCTAAGTTTTTTCGGCTTTTTTTTGCGTTTGTGTTTAATCATGAGTGGTGTGAAGCTCCGCTTTGCTTCTGTGTTAAGTTTTGCGACTTGACTCTCGACTAATTTTTTAGACTGTTTTGTACTTAAAAGATTAAAAGGAGCGCAAATTACATTTTCCAATTATAAAAATTCAATTGGCTCAAACAAAAACATTTTCGTCTTTAAGCTTGACAGTTGTACTTTGAAAGTTTAGTTTTTTGCTCAAAAAATGCTCGCTGATTTATTTTTTTCATGTTATGTGAATTTTGAAATTACTGATTCAACAGTTAAGCATTGCGGTAAGAAAATTACTCGAATTAAAACTCAGAAACTACTTAATATCTTTTGCTTCTTCTGGTCATGTTTTCCATGAAATGAAGGTGATTTGTGACATGATATCCAAACCTGGTTTGACAAGTCTTTCACGTTGATTTTACATATTTGCGTTTAATCTCGGGTTTATCGTCACCTCATCAAAAGCAAACACGTTCGTCTCATTATCTGGATTTAGTGCAGCATTCGTGATTGGACCAATTGAGGGGTTTGAACTCTTTAGTCGAATACAATTACCCTCAATAATTTGCAACTAGTAAGTTTTCCTTCAAATTTTTAAACTTCGACTCTTTTCAAACGCATCTCTTTATTGAGTATTCTTTTACTTCCTTTTTGAAGTAGTGAAAGTTTAAGGTCACATTTTTTTCAGAAACCAATCAAAAATTATAAGAAACAAAAATTTTCACCTATTTTTGCCAAAAAACATTATTGTTTTTTGATCTATCCGTGGCGCAAAGTTGTTTTTAAAGTTTTCTATGTTTGCATACCAGTTTTTGCAAAAATACGGATTCAAGGGTTTGGTTAAGTTAACTAATGTTAAGGTTTTTGCTTAGAGGTTTATTGACAGCAACAAGCATGTAATAAAGGTATCCTTTAATTGGCAGACGAGAACTGACTTGATTTTGCAGTGTGATCTGTGAGTTTTTAATTGACACAATATCAACCCCTTACTATTGTCGGTCAGTTTGTATTGGTTATTTTCGTGAATCCCATATTCAGAACTAGAGAATGGAACCGGAACAACTAGTTTCTGGGATTAGTCCCCGGGATTTGACCAATCAGAGCGCAGATCAGAAGAATGGTTGTCACAAGGGAGAGACTAGTACTGATCCGTCGAAAGAGTGGTTGCATAACTTGTGGTGGCAAGTCAGCGATGCACAAGAGGAAACAGACTACTACGACAGGTAATTTTTCTGTACCTCCGCAACTCTACTCTTTGAAGAGCAGGACCTTTTTTCATGCAAATGTCTCAGCTGTATGAAAGTAGTGCTGGTGTATTTTTTTTGAAATCTGACTTTCGAAAAACATAGACCAATTTGGTATGAAAGCTTAACAAGACTGTTTGTATCAGAGCGAAGCCCTGAATGTTCCGACTGCTTTTTAAGGTTTATGGAGCAGTAATAACCAAAAAAAAATTGAATGTAATAAATAAACATGAAATTTTTTTTAGTAAAATTTGAAATTTTTTGTGAACATCATCCCCTCGCTTTCTTTCAAACAATTTGGAACGATTTCTATGACGGACTAAATCCCCGCTTACACGTTAAAAGCGCGAAACATCGCGCGTTAATTGTCCCAAATTGGCCAAAATGGCCAAAATCGCAATCTTCAAACCCCCATAACTTTGCGGAAAATGATCACAGGTGAAATATTTTCTCAAACTTAATCTTAGGAAAACAGTACCTTTCGAATGATATAAAAAATTCCGTCAAAAATGGCTATTTAAAAAGTCGAAATTTGTCTGAAAAAAACCACCCCGAGCACAAATATTCCGTTACTTTCGTATCGAAAGTCGGAACAAAAAATATGGATACCTGACCGTCGAAACAATCAAGGCCTTGCCCTGATAAGAGCAGTCTAGTTTCTCTTCATATTCAAATTTGAATAAAGTCAGCTTCATTCTGCTCAAGAAATCGTATCAACTGCAGTTTAATATTTAAAACAAAATCATGAATGGAAACTTTGAAGGAGTTTTGTCTTTGTTTGTTGCTGGTGATTGTGAAACAGAGATTCGCTTCCCCTTACATTTTTAAGGGCGAAAAAATAAACAAGATTTAACAAATAATAAAAAAACTAGTCAAATAATTTTTTTTTGTTCTGCGGCCCAAACACTAAGCTATGATAATCGAGCACTATCAATTAAAAAATTGCCCATTTTATTAAAAATTTCCAACGTTGATGTCTGACTTAAAAAAAATTGTGAAAATTCTGCAGCTCGTTTGAAAGTCAAAACAAAATACTGCTTATTTATTAAATTAGAATCATACGTGAAATTTGGCTTAATATCAGTTAATTACGCTCAGTATTCCCGACAACTGAACTTTTAGTTTCTTTGAAAATTCAACCTTATATCTCATTCAATCAATGGAGATATTATCATCTTATCCATCAGCATATTTGAAATTGAGCAAAAAGCTAGTAGATTTAAAATTCTATTGTTTCGTGTTAGCAGAGTTTTTTCTAGGTTTTTTCTAGGTCAGTTTTTTTAGGAGTCCCTTCCCGCGCACTCACCGGCACCACCAGAAACATATTTTCAATTTTACAAGTTTCTGGACGAAAATCATGTTCAAGGTAGCTAACTTGAAAATGTTCGGCCTTTAGTTAGTTCCAATTCATATTGGCAAAGCAGAGATGAGAACTGTAAAATATACGAATTACGATTTGAATCAAATGAGATTTGAATCAAATGAGACAAAGCTATGTCTCAAAAGTCGTTCTAAGTTTTTGATTTCATTTTGCTAGAACGGCTGAAGACTATGAGAGTGTGACTAATCAACTAAACTGGAGGGCTCCTCAATTGTGCATGAAGACCATAACCAACTGGGAGCAGAAGAGTGGTGGAGCCATACCGAGGCATTCAGTTGCAATTGGTAAGTCATAAATTTTTATCCAGCTTTTATCCAGATCTGATATAATTTGACTCTGCTATCTCGTTAGTTTCAGCAACCTGAGGTCTGATAGTGAAACGCTGCATACCATGTGGTGTTTAGTCCGAGGCAGGGGTGGACTTATGGGGGGGGTGGCGTTGGACGCCTCTTCCTTAGGGATTCGACCCCCAGCCGACCTAAAGGGTCCCCCTTTTGTACTATTTTGAGATATCCTTTTTTGGCTGACTGAGCCTAAAATTTTTCAAAAGGCGCTTTTGGCGCCAATATAAACTTACTTTAAATGGGAGTGCGCGCCAAAAAAACCGCAATTTATCTGACAAAATTTTCCAAAAAAAGCCCAAAAACGGCTTTTTTGACCTGTTTTTTCAAACGTTTGCCTACGGTGCAGAAAATTTGGCCATAACAGCGTCTTTTTACTGCTTTAGGATTGGTCCAAAAATCAATTTGGTCGACCTAGAAAAAAGTAGTCAAAGGTTTCGAAAATTTTTTTGAAAATCCGCCCTCACTCCCTCGAGAAAATTCTAGATCCGCCCTGGTCACAGGGGCTCAAATCCTGCCCGGACCTTGTTTTTTTTATACGGTTGAAGTCAAACATTTGTTTCTCGAAAATTTTGAACAATTGGACAATTGTTTGTCGGCTTATTTTTTGTCAGCCTGATTTCCCAGCTTTGGAATCATCTGACGTAGCCAATCTTTAAGATAATTGGAAGCCTTTATTTAACTTTTTTTTTGGAGCTCAAAATTTTTTTGACAAACGTATTTTGTGACAATTTTTTCGTCTTCGGCTCATTGGGCGTCTACCTAAAAACAGTGATCTTGTTTTCCGCTCTTTTAAAGATACACAAAGCTTATTTAACGCTAGTGATTGGTATTAGCGACTGTGTTATTCTGAAATGAGTATTATGGAGATGAATGCATGAAGATTTTGATAGTGTTGATTTTTCAATTTTTTTTCCCTGCTTGAAAATTTTCATCTCTTTTTCTATTCAACTGACTCCAAGTTACGAAGATCCATTTTCTCTCTATATATACGGAGTGTTTTATCACTATTTAGTCTAAGTTTTTTGGTTCTTTTTCTCTCTGCTGAAAGAAAGATCTTTCAAACTCTACGTACGGATTTGCGATTGCGCAACAAAGATTAAAGTCTCAGGTTCAAAAATAATTTTATACTTTTGTACTTTTCAAAGGAATCAGAAAAATTTAACTATCGATCCAGTTTTCTCTATTTGGGTTACTTTTTTGGAACAAGTCGCACTCATAAAACATTAAAAACAAACACACAAAAATTTTAGGTGATTTATTTCACTCTTACTCTGAAAGTGAAACACTGTTTTGAAAAGTCAATTTCTTTTCGGTTTTTTTACACTTTTCTACCTGTATGTTATCTTGCAAGAAATGTATTACGTTTTACGCCAGTAAAGAAAATTAAAAGAAAAACTAGAAGTCGCTGAGAAATTCGCTAGAAATCGCTATATAATTCACCACACCTTTTTTTTGCTTAAACTCAAAATGGGAGAACTAAAAATATTGTTTTTTTTTCTTTGACCTCAACTTTTTCTGACTCGACTTGAGAAGTAATGTACGAAGCTTGCTCTGGCGATATGCCTTAAAAATTTCTCAAAGTGAGAGAAAGTTAAGGGAATAAAAACTGGTTTGCTCGTATTAGTTTGTTCCAAAATACTGTTTTTTCTGCAAATGCTCGCTAGTTTAGAAAGAGAACAAGACTGTTCGTATCAGGGCGAAGCCTTGAATGTTCCGACTGCATTAAATGGAGCAAAAAATAACATGAAAAGTTAAATGTAGTAAAATAAAATGAAACAGAAAAATTAAACTTGAGATTTTTTTTTGAAAACAATCTCCCCATGCGCCAATTAAAGTACAAAGGGATAGATTTCGCTCGTACTAACGTATATGTTATGGAAAATAAGCTTCCTTCAACCAATTTGGAACAATTTCTAAGACGGATTAAATCTCCGCTTGCGCGTTATTAGCGCGAAATGTATCACGCGTTAATTGTCCAGAATTGGCCAAAGTGGCAATCTTTAAACCCCAGTCTAAACCCCAGTCTGGCAGTTTAATGAAAAATTGATCACCGGTTTAATATCATTTCAAATTTAAGCTCAAGACAACAATACTTTTTGAATGATGTAAAAAAACTTGTCAAAAATGCCTAATTAAAAAGTCCAAATTTGTCTGAATGAAAAAACCCAACGAGCACAAATATTCCTCTATTTCGTTACGAAAGTCGGAACAACAAGACTGCTCGTATATCAGGGCAAAGTCCAGACTGTCCCTTAATTCATATCGAATAGTTTTTGGGAAAAAATTTGTTGAAAACCCATACATTTTGGACAATATCTAGGTGTAAAATTTCATGCCAAATTAATCCGACCAAATAGCTAGTCTCAATTCAACTTGGAATGATTTTGTTGTGCGGGATAATTCTACACGCTCTCAGCATCATAAATATACCCCTCAAAGCGCGCATAATTTAGTCCAGTACGTGTCAAATTTGGCAATTTTCAAACCCCCATAACTTTACAAAAAATAATCAGAGATGAAATACTTTTTTACATTTGAGTTCAGGAAGTCAATATCTTCAATAGGGTATAAAAAATTTTGTTGAAAATTATTATTTCAATCGGTGAAAATTGACTGAATAAAAAAAACACACCGATCATAAATATTCTGTTTTCTTCGAAAGTCGGAACAGTAAAAAGAAATGAAAGCATGTTTTTATGTCTGTTTGAAAATTGTGCTTTGTTTGCTCTGTTTATATCCGACCATTCTAACTATAACGAACAAAACATATCGTTTTTTGATTTATACCTCTCCAATTGAATATTTTACCGCGAAAACTCTGAAAGCGTAATACGAGCAATCTCCAAATATTGCTCATTTTGTAAGCATTTATGAAAAACAGCTATAAATAGAAAAGAAAACACATGTGGAAAAAATTGCTCCATTTTGAATCGCTCGAAATTAATATCTACTTATCTTTTCTACTAATCCTTCCCTATGGGTAAAATGGATTTTGGCGTAGGAAATTTTCAGACAAATATGACAGCATCAAAGGAAGCTTGTAGGGAGTCAATTTATATCTTATCAAGAGCTTATCTGAATTTTTTTCAAGAGAAGGCCTAAAGTCTGTTTAATATCAAGTTCAAATTTTTGTGGTTTGACCTTTAATTTTTTTAAAAGTTAAACTCATTTTTTTGTTGTTGCAAGGAAGACAATTTTTTTGTTACAATGATCGAACAGCACGAAAGTAAATCTCACAAAAAAGGACCTCTTTTTTCAAATGTATAGTTTCTCTCTCTATTTTCGAAGTTTCATTTTCCAGCGAAATAAAAACTCTACCCAATAATCCATTTGTCTCAAGCGAAATAAAAACTCTACCCAATAATCCATTTGTCTCAAAATGGATAAAAATAAATTCTTTTTGATATTCCATGAGCTTTTAGGCTAGTGTTATTGTTCCTCCGACTTTCGATACGAAAGTAACGGAATATTTGTGCTCGGGGTGGGTTTTTTCTTCAGACAAATTTCGGCTTTTTAACTAGCCATTTTTGACGGAATTTTTTTTTATATCATTCAAAAGTTATTGTTGACCTGAGCTTAAATATGAAACGATATTTCACCTGTGATCATTTTTCGTAAAGTTATGAGGGTTTACAGATTGCCATTTTGGCCATTTTGTCCAATTTGGGACAATTAACGCGCGATATCATTCGCGCTATTAACGCGTAAGCGGATATTTAATCCGTCTTAGAAATCGTTCCAAATTGGTTGAAAGAAGCTTATTTGCCATAATTTATTTGTTACAAGGAACGAAATCTACTCTTTTTCAAACTTTATATGAGGGGAATGATTTTCATAAAATATTTCAAATTTTAGAGAATTTTTTAAAATTTTGTTTTATTACATTTTTAATGCAATAATTCAAAATGAAAGGTTATTACTGCTCCATAAACCTTGAGAAGCAGTTGGAAAATTCAGAACTTTGCATTGATACAAGCTGTCTTGTTTACTTTTAAAATCAGTTGCTCTTTTTTCAGTTTCCTTGTGTTGATAGTTTTTTTCAACTGTCTGTTTGTTGTGTTTAAAATAATTTTCGAATCTAAAACAAACTTTAAAGAATTGTTTCAGTGTCTGAAAAACTTAGTCTGAAATTCTTTGCACTTCAAACTAATATTTTTTTTAGACTAGAAGTTTCGGAACAGACTTCCAATCTAAATACTGTGGTTGTTTATCAGTACTTTATTTTTTATCAACTGGTTGTTACAGCTCATTAACGAAATCAGTCCTTTAAATCATTTCACCTAATTTTTTTCATACTTTTTCATTTTGATTTAAAGTTTGCGTAGTCGAAACCTTCTGTGTTACTTGTTTTTCATATCAATCTGATTTCGGAAACGAAATTTTATTTTTTGTCTGTCATGGCAAAAAGCGTCGACCGAAAAGACCACAAACGTCCAATGAGAGAGGGTTAGACACCATATGAAAGTGCCTTGAAAAAAAAATTGATATTTTAGATAAAATTTTTTCAGCCTTCAGGCATTTTTGCCTCTGAGAACTTGCAATTTATATAAAATCACCTCTGAAAATATTTTCCTTTCAGCGCCAATTTTTCAGAAAAAAAACATGCCCGAATTCAGTAGTTTTCCTGTAAAAGTTATCAGTCGGGCAACGATTAAAAAACCTAGCAAACAGGGCTGATGTTAATATGATTGTACACCCGCAGTGCACCCTCGAAAAAAATGCCCAATAGTTAAACACCACAAAAATATTTACTGCGGATTTTGTCCTCTTGCTTAGACATTGGAGCTGGCACTGGTCTAAGTGGTGTGGCTCTTAGAGACATTGGCTTCACTGGACCTGTAGACGCCCTGGAGCCATCTGCTAACATGTTCGCACTGGCCAAACAGAAGAATATATACAGGCAGGCTTTCTGTTTTAATATTTTGACGATAATATTAAATTCTAACACTTTTTGCGATTACGTTAAACTTAAATTATTTTTTTTGAAATTCTTTTCTCAGGAAAAGTCAATTTTTCTTCCGAAAATTTCTTTTTTCATGCATCAAAAGTTGAGATTTGAAACGCAAAATTTGATATTTATCGGTTTGACTATTTACTTTTATGTTTAAATTCATTTCAAACCCATCTGGCATGAACACTATAAGTTTAACTCCCCGATCACGAACTCGTAAATAAAGCGACAAACCATGAGCGATTTCAGGTTTCGGTTTTAACAATGTTTTAGTTTTTGCGTGCCTGATACGAAGCTTACACATTATGATTTTTGGAACCACATTCCAACCATCATTTTGTGTGTTTAGAGATTGGTATGGAGAAATGTTAGTGGAGGGGGAGGAGACTACAGTGCCTGGAGACATGTACGACTTGGCATTCTCAGTAGGAGTGTTCAGTGACAGATCGGCAAAGTTAGTTCACCTTTGGTCTTTTGACTTTTCCTTGTTGGTTATCATTTTTTGCTGAAAAATTTCAGTCATAAGAATCAAAAAAGCTCGGCCAAATAGACAAAAAACGCCTCAAAATTGCTTGAAATCTCAATATTTCATGCATTCACAAATCGCATAATACGTTTTTAAATTACCTTTTTCTGTTCCAATATTACGAGACCAAGTTGTGCAATTTGTGAATTGTAAACGGATGCCGCAACAAGGACTCTCCTTTTGTTTTTATTTTGTTCTTTCATTTTCTTTGATTGTTCTGACAAAATTTTAATAAATTTAAACACTTGACAGCTTGGTCTCCTAATAATCTTTCTGCAACTAGGTGAAATTAGTCACAAACAAATAAGACAGAAAAAAAAATTTAAAAGCAGTTAACCTAATTTTGTGATTTTTTGTTTGCAGAAAAAAAGTTTCCACACCAAACTGATCTTTTAAGATTGTTTAAAACATAGAAACCCAAATTTAAATGCTGTCAAATGAAAAATTTGATTTGTCTGTCTGAGTTTGTATGTCTAGTTTTATTCAATATTCTATACCTAATTGTACATAAATAAAAGCTCAAATAATGTAAATTTGCAAGTAATTTTTTTCACAAATGCTTGAGAAAAACTCACAAAAACGCAAAAAAGGCTTTGTAAAAGTCTGCTCTAAAAATTTGAAATTCTTTTCAGCTTCAGTTTTTTCCAGCCAAATGAATTGATAAGAAAAACAATGTGCATAATTTTTATTCATTTTTGGAACTATGGGAGGTTTAGAATTTTGATTGTTAGTTTATCTTGAGAATAATTTCTACTTTTTTGATAAAAATTGTACAAATTTTTCTCGATAAAGATTCTCGAACTTTGATCCTTGAAACTTTGAAAGTCTAATCATAAAATCATGACTTTAGTTTGCCCGGACTAACAAATAAAGATAGTCATGCTAATTTTAATAATATAGAAAAATGCTTGTTAATCAATTCCATACCAGTCCATAGAATAAACTTTTTCGTTATTGGAATTGTATGACCAACATTTTGTTAAACATTGTAAGGCTATGATAATCATTTTTACCTTGATGAAAACAAATTGTTTTTTTATTTTCGTTTTTTTTGTAACTACGTTGTAGGGCTCCTAATTACTTGACAACGTAAAAATTAAAGTTTCAAAGTTTGCCAGTATAAAGTTTTGGAGTTTAGTTTGAGTATAGATCTGATTCAACATTTTAAATGAGAGCTAGTTTTTTTTCTCTCAGTTGAATTTGGCGTAGGAAAAAACGCTTGTCACACAGTTTTTATAAAAAAAAATTTATGGCGCAATTTTTTCTCCACATTCGAGTTCAACTTTTTTTATTATTCGAAAATACTATTAGAAATTTTAAAGACTACTGAAATTTTGTTTGCGCGAGGAAAAATATATCTCCATATGCAGTTGTTTTAAATAGAAATGGTATGATAAACATCTCATAGATTTCTATATATGAAACTGTGAATTGCTGGTATGAATTGTCTAACCTTTTCATATTTTGAAATTGTATGATAAACTTTTTTTCGCCTTCAACCTGGGAGGGTTTGGAAAATTTAATAGCAAAAAAAAACTAATGGCTGCGTAAACTTTTCATGATTAAGGAACTTTCTCTTGAAACCCCTACAACGAGGTTCAGTGGTGGATCTAAACTTTTTTGGGGTCAAATGAGTTTTAAAAGTTTTGCCGAACTAAGGTAAATGTCTACCTCCCCTTTTAAAGTTTTGGGTTAACTGACCGAATGAAATGTCAGCCCCCTCCCCAAATCCACTAGAGTTTTATTGCTTGATAGAACTCCTGTCGATTTAGGAAAGGCAGTATGTCTGAAGTGTTGCGTATGGTTAAGAAGGGGGGCTACATATCAGTCATCATGGTTGCCAGACACTGGCTAGACGAATTCAGAGACCACATCGCTCTTATGGAGGCGGAGGGACTGGTTAAGACTCTTCACGTGGATATGTTTGATGCCGACATGTACATGAGAGAAGTAGCAGCCGTGGCTTTTGTCATGAAGAAACTATGACTACTTTAAGTGATCAGGACTAACTAGCTGTTTTTTCAATTTTGTAAATTCATGTCTGACCACTTCTTACAGTTAAACTTGGCTCTTTTCCTCCCCCCACCTGCAAGTTTTATCAGTAAACGTTTTTTTATACTGTTAGATTGTTATGAAAATTAACATACTGACTTACGGACTAATTAGGTTATAACAAACATATTTGGGGTTCATAATTAATCTTGTAAAACCACTCGTTACACCATAAAAATCATGTTCGTATGAGGTGGGGGAAAGGAGAAAGAGCCTCAAATTTCTATTTACAATTATACAAACACTTTTTTTATTTTACGGGAGCAACACGCCCGGGTTGACCTCCATAAACCGAAAATGCTTATCTTACATTTCCCCACACCGAAAATGCTTATCATACAAATGCCTACATCAAATGTATGGAAAAATGCTAATCATACAATTTTCATACAAGTTTTTAAAAAATTTCCAAGTAAAATTGAAATTGCCTCAAAAATTTTTTCGGTTTTTTTTCAACCTCAAATCGAATTTTGTAAAAAAAAAAACAAACATTTACCAAAAAAATTTTAATTTTTTGTCTGCATAACGTAGTCCACGATGCACAAAAATTGGAGTTTTTTTCCGTTTCTCTGGATAAATTTTTTTAAACAGGCTAAAAACTCCTGTTTTTTTTTGTATGGCTTGTTTATATATGCCTTGATCAATGTTTGAGAAGTTGAAATATCAATTTAAAAAAAATCATCTTTGAAAAATTTTGCCAAAATTTAAAAGTTTGATGCTTTCACTATATCATTTGTGAAGTAATCTTTTTTACAACTCAGATCGTTTCTAATGCATTAATGACAGACAATCAACCTTTTGGGAACACTAGTGTTGAGTACATCATGGGTTTAGTCGCTTGTGTTCGGTAACGAACCCATCCCAAAAATTTTGAGAAATAAAATTTAGAAAAAATCAGTTTTTTAGTTTATGAAAAAATGCTTATCCTACACTTTTCATTTATAAAAAAATGCTTATCCTAGAGTTTTTTTACAATTTTCTGAGTCTATGAAACTGTAGGAAATTATAGGATAAGCATTTTTTCATATATGGAAATTGTAGGACAAGCCTTTTTGGTCAACACGGGCATGTCCGTTAACTAGCCAGATGTGCACCCTAAAAATAAATCCTTATTTATCACAAAGATAGTTAGTATCAACTTGAATATTTTGAAAACCTTATTTGGAAGCGTTATAGACACTTTTGTGATTTTTTTTTAGAATTGACAAAACTAAGCGTGCAATCGATTATGATAAATTTTCAAATAAATTTTTTTCTAATAGAAAAACGATTTGATGTAACCCAATTAGACACAAAATTAGATAATGTAGAGATTGTTTACAAATCAAAGAATAGATTCAGTTGGCTAAAATATGAGATATATCGTAGAAAATTTTTTTGTAAAAAATCAAAATTTTCAGGCAAACCAGGTGGCTCAAATAATTGTATTAAAAAGCGACAAAAATCACGAAATCCTACTAAATCACAAAGTTACGTGAGCGGCTAACTATAAGTTTCATGAGATCATTCATAGGTTTTGCTACATAAAGTCAATAAAAACTCCCACGTTATAAAAATGTGCATTTAATTGAAACATTTTTAAAAACAATTTCTAAGATCCACCGCTTAGAACTAATTTTAATAAATATTTGACAAAAAGGTAGAAAGATAAATTTTTTAAAAAAAATATTTTTAGCTGCAGCATAATATTCGAACAATACCGATTTCAAGGTCAAAAATCAGTTTTATAAACTTACTAAAAAGCATGCATTATAGGTATATTTCTAATTCACTCACATAAGTTGATTGTCTTGAAAGATGTGAAATTTAGAGAATAAACTATATTTAAAAACGTTTAAATCTGTAAGAAATCTGAATATAATCGGTACATAACCTGTAGGTAAGCTGTATATACTCGGTTTATAATCTAAATTGAATATAAAAGGAATCTGAATATAATATCTGTACAATTGATATATAGCATTATAAAATTTGTATATCCTCCGTAGACAACCTGTTAACAATTTTTACATTTTTAAAACTAAAATATACACCAACAAATGAGTTTTGGTAGCTATCGAATCGCTGAAATCAAGTATAATATGCAATCTATGGCAGTCGATTTGATAGTTAATGAAATCTTGTTTTGGATAGTTAATGAAATCTTGGTTTGAAAAGGTTATCTATTTCACAACTTTAGTAGCGATAATTGTTTGCAAATAAACTTAGCATTGCTAAACTTAGCGTGAATGATATTTTATTAGGAAGCGTTATTATTGTTTTTGTTCTTCGTATTTGTTAACTTGGTGGTTAATTTATTTCGTCTTTCAACTATATGTCTTCTTATTCTACTCATATATGATTCTTGCTTCTGGGAAAATAACTCGCAACTTCTCGTCAACTTCGTCTCTGATATAAGTTTTGTTCACCAGCACGTGGACATGGCATAAAACCCGAGCCCGTGATATGGCATTGTACAAAAACTGAAGTGACGCTGTGTAGTCTTTGGGATCAAATGGAAGTAAAATGTGGCATTGGATGAACTCTGAAGAAATGAAAAGTTCTTTGCCAGTTGCAGACGTAGAGAAGAGCCCTTTAAAATATTTTTCAATCCACCAGTTTTTTATACCTATGCGATGAAAAAAGTGTGGAAAGAAAAAAAACGCACATTCGATTTCGCGATCTTTTATCTCCAAATTGAATATTTTTTCAATTGTATCCCAATGGAAATATTCGATCGCGTCTTGGCGGTAAACTTGAACGAGTATTTGGGGTCCATGAATGAAGTGTCCGTAGGCGGGGGTGTGTGCTAGTCTTTCTTTTTCTTCGGTTTGATTTTCTGTTTGAACGCGCCCAATGAGCTCGCGCAGTTTGATAAGTTGAGTTACAATATTACGGGTATTTCGATAACTGGCACTCAATTGAACTATGTCGTATAAGGAGCCACAATATTGAAACACCTTTTCCGCTGTTGTAGTTTGGGGTTTTTGATTCAAATCTACTGTCAAAACACAGGGTTTTTGCTCTGCGTACTTATTTTGTTTCTTACAGGGCTGCACTTGGTAATCATCTATGAACTCATAATCAAACTTATATTTTGACACAGAAGGAGGTCGGTGGGCAATTATAAGTTTGCTTTCGAGGTCAAACATATTCGCATATTGTTCTTCCACTGATTCTATGCCAGCCTTCTCGAATACAGATTTGTACTTGACTAAATCAATGTGATTTCCGACACTCAGCTTGATCTTCGAATCCTTGCTAGTCAAAGCGAGGCGAATAATTCTAGCCAATAAAACCAGCGTTTTACCAGAACCAGGACCCCCTGTTATGATCAAGCCGTCACTTTCTTTTTGATACGCCTCCCATTGTTCGGTTGTTATGTACTTCAGTCCCAAGCAATCCTTCAAAATGAATTTATCAAGTTCCCTATCAGGTGTATCAGGTGTATCGCTGGTTTTCAATACATTTGGGTTAGAGGATCGGTTTTCTCTCTCAAAAGTAATACGTCCGTCTCTCAGTTTTCGGTCAATGTCGACTACGCAATCAGCAAGGCTTATTTGGCTTTTCAGTTTTCGGTCAATGCCGACTAAGCAATCGGCAACGCTAATTTCGCGTTTCAGTCTTTTTTCAATTTTTAGGCGATCGGGAAGGCTGATTTTGCTTTCCAGTTTTCGTTCAATGACGTCTACGCAATCGGCAAGGCTACATTTGCTTTTCAATTTTTCTTCAATTTTGTCTATGCAATCGGCAAGGATTAATTGGTTTTTCAGTTTTCGGTCAATGTCGAAATTGCGTGAAGAAAAGGCCTTTCTAATTTTGTCTTCCATTTCTTGTTCAAGTTTGTGTACGCAATCAGCAAGGCTAGTTTCGTTTTTCAGTTGTTTTTGAAAGTCATCTACGCAATCGGTAAGATTTAATTTGTCTTTCAGCTTTTGTTCAATGTAGTTTACACAACCGGCAAGGCTAATATTGCTTTTCAGTTTTCGTTCAAGATCTATTATGCAATCGGCAAGGATTATTTTGCGTTTTAGTTTTCGTTCAAAGTAGTCTTGGCAATCGGCAACGTAGTCTTGGCAATCGGCAAGGCTTGTTTTGTTTTTCAGTTTTCGGCCAATGTCGTCTGAGCAATCAGTAAGGCTAATTTGGCTTTTCACTTTTTGTTCGATGCCTCCTACGCACTCTGCAAAGATAGTTATGCTTTCCAGTTTTTGTTCAATGCCGACTACGCAATCGGCAAGGCTAATTTTTGTTTTCAGTTTTTTTACAATGTATTTGCGATCGGCATGGGAGATTTTTAGTCCCAGATATCTTTCAATGAGGTCTACGCAATCTTCAGAGCAAATTTTGTTTTTTAGATGTAGTTCAATGTCGACAACGCAATCAGCGAGGCGAATTTTGCTTTTCATTTCTCGTTCAACGTCGCCTATGCAATCGTCAAGAATGATTTTTCTTTTCACTTTTCGTTCAAGGTCGCCAAGGCAATCAGCAAGGATTATTTTGTTTTTCAATTGTCGTTGATTGTCGTCTACGCAATCGGCAGGGCTATTATAGATTCTCAAAATACGTTTAATGTCGTCTAAGCAATCGGCAAGGCTAATTTTGCTTTTCACATTTTGTTCGAATTTGTCTACGCAATCGGTAAGGCTAATATTGCTTTTCAGAATTCGTTCAATGTCGTTCACGCAATTGGCAAGGCTAATTTTGCTTTTTAGTTTTCTTTCAATGTCACCTACGCAATCGGCAAGGCTAATTTTGCTGTTCAGTTCTAGTTCAATAATAGCTACGCAATCGGTAAGGATTATTTTGCTTTTCAGTTTTTGTTCAATGTCAGCTACGCAATCATCGGTAAGGATTATTTTGCTTTTCAGTTTTCGTTCAATGTTGTCTACGCAATCGGGGAGGAATTTCTCGCTTCCCTGTTTTTTTTCAATGTCTTCTACGCAACTCGTTCCGATAGCAAATAAACGAAAGAGTACTCGTTGAATTTTTCCGATGTCGCCATAAATGGAAACTTGTGGCACTATGCGGCTTGTTTTGTTATCCAGTGAGCTGAGAATAACTGGTACGTTTTCAACTGACACCTTTCGGCTTTTTACTTTTTTGTTCCAAACTGACTTAAAGTCCTGTAAGTCTGACTTGTTAATCAAGACAGATTTAACCTCCGAATCGACAGAATCAAGGGAAGTGTTTCCATGTTCGAGTTTCGGAAAAGCCATTAGTTGAATTAAATTGATGGTTTGCTGACACTGGCCCAGAGTTTTTTCCGCTATCCCGCATATAAGTTTTACTACTTTTTTGTGCTGATTTTTTGCTATCTCGATAGGATCTTTGCATTTTTGATTTTTTGGTTGGTTCATTTCGCCATCACTGAGAGGATTCTTCTCTAGCACAGGTTTGCCGGCCGATGCCTGAAGACTCTCTGAGTTCTTCACTTCAATGTTAACTATATATGTGGGACCTATCACCACAAAATCGTTTTCACGTTCATAGTTGTTTACTTCTTTCTTTCTGCAACTGGGTTTTTTTGTTTGTTTCACTGCTGCAGTGTTTTTCGTCATGGTTAAAATCCCACATTCGGAACTGTTTATGAGTGTATTCTAGCCCGTGTAAGACTATTATAGGTTCGTCTAACTGTTCGAGTGCTCTATACACTAAAACTTCGGCTTCGTAGTCATCTTGGCTTTTCTTGTCTCTTTTAATTTTTCCATTGGAAGCAACGTCCGATTCTTTGACAAAGATCTACTTAACAGCCCACTTCCCCGTTGTCTTACATTACATTATTCCCAACGATCATTCAAAACTGAGTAATCTGGTCAAAATTGGTGTCGGAACAACAATCCTGTCATTACGAGGCCACCGGCTCATGAGAAAAGTGAAAAATATATATATTATGATGGACTGTTGTGGTCTAAAATATCAATATATAATCCATACCCATGTTACGCTCATACAACAAAATTAGATTGAAAATGTATTTAAATCCATTTTTCCCCGCAAAAAATATTGCATTATATTTTATTCGAAACCCATCATAATGGATTTTATAATAAGTATGAATTGATTAAAAATACTCAATCTAAAACCAAAAACTTAAATTGAAAACATGTATCACACCTAAACCAACCCCTCGTCTTCCCTAACAACGATGTCTGGGATGAAAATGGCTTTCTGATGGTAAGACCTATCCCTCCCTCACTGGAACTTTCTTCGTGAGGTTTTGTCTCTTTACCTGCACGTATGATGCGTATGCAATAATCATGATGAAACCATGTATCACATCTGAACCAACCCCTCGTCTTCCCTAACAACGATGTCTGGGATGAAAATGGCTTTCTGATGGTAAGACCTATCCCTCCCTCACTGGAACTTTCTTCGTGAGGTTTTGTCTCTTTACCTGCACGTATGATGCGCATGCAATAATCATGATGAAACCATGTATCCTATCTGAACCAACCCCTCGTCTTCCCTAACAACGATGTCTGGGATGAAAATGGCTTTCTGATGGTAAGACCTAACCCTCCCTCACTGGAACTTTCTTCGTGAGATTTTGTCTCTTTACCTGCACGTATGATGCGCATGCAATAATCATGATGAAACCATGTATCCTATCTGAACCAACCCCTCGTCTTCCCTAACAACGATGTCTGGGATGAAAATGGCTTTCTGATGGTAAGACCTAACCCTCCCTCACTGGAACTTTCTTCGTGAGATTTTGTCTCTTTACCTGCACGTATGATGCGTATGCAATAATCATGATGAAACCATGTATCATATCTGAACCAACCCCTCGTCTTCCCTAACAACGATGTCTGGGATGAAAATGGCTTTCTGATGGTAAGACCTAACCCTCCCTCACTGGAACTTTCTTCGTGAGATTTTGTCTCTTTACCTGCACGTATGATGCGTATGCAATAATCATGATGAAACCATGTATCATATCTGAACCAACCCCTCGTCTTCCCTAACAACGATGTCTGGGATGAAAATGGCTTTCTGATGGTAAGACCTATCCCTCCCTCACTGGAACTTTCTTCGTGAGATTTTGTCTCTTTACCTGCACGTATGATGCGTATGCAATAATCATAATGAAACCATGTATCTCACCTGAACCAAACCCCCTTCGTGTTATATTCGAGGCCAGCTAATAGGCAGCCGGAACATTCAGGGCTTTGGCCTGATAGGCGAGCAGTTTTGTTCGTTTGAACAATTTCACCTCTCCCCACTCCCCCCGCTCGCTCCACCCGGATTGGTTCTAGCGAGGGGATTGTCTTAGATGCGGGTTGTTGGTTTAATCGGGGGGGGGGGGGGGGTTTAGTTTGGGGATAATGCCAGTGGGGGAGACCGTTGTTCATGTGGAGGGGGGAGGGGGGTGGAAGGGGGTGGTGATTCAGTTATTCAAGTGTGTGTGTGAGGGGGGGGGGGGGGGGGGTTGGTTTATGAAAAATGTAGAAGCGAACAAAATTGAAAAATTGAGTAACATCAAAGCAGTAACAAAAAGTTGCGCGGAACAAACTTTTGAATGATCGGCTAGTGACCAACTTTAGTTTAAAACGTAGAAAACACACATTTATTGTCTTTTTGTATAAAAATAAAAAAATTATCATTTATTTTTGATTCGCAATAAATTTAAATGCTTTTTCAAATAAAAATAATAGAATCCAGTTATAATTGACTAGAATCAAATTTTTCATATATATGGACAGTGATATGGAAATTTTCAAATAGTGGCATATTTCCGGCAAAAATTTACAAATGTGGGTTTAGATATGGGGGTCTAACTCATAGAGTAATTTCGGATAGGGTACACCGTCTGCTCGTCACGCTATCTTATTTTCGGCCGGATAGATTCGTGCAACTTCTTAGTCTAATACCGATCCTAATCTTACTCTTATAACTACTAGTCTCAGGGTGTTTAACTAGTCTCTGCTAGGCTCAATAGATCTAGAGTATACTGGTATTGTTGCGGCTGCGGAAGTACTCGGGAGAGTCAACTATTTTCTAAGTTAAATTCAAATCTCTCTGGTGCTGAAATTACAAGTAATTTCAGCACTTACAAATAAGTGGGTAGTTAATTAGATGGATTGTGATTGGTTAATATTAAATACTTTACAGTGGTAAAATGTCTAAATTATAAATAATAAAATGTAGTTTAGATCAGGTTCCACCCATCCGGGGTTTACAGAGTTTTTGAGTTCTATTTCTTTTCTTCTGCAATTGAAGGATGGATGATGAACGTTGGTATGTGGCGAACATCATTTTCGTTTTCCTGTTCCCTGGAGAAGAGAGGTCCTTGACTAGAACCGTCGACCTGATTTCTCTTTAAGAGAAAAGTTCCAGAACGCTGGAATTAGGGATAGGAAGTTATCTTCTTGTCGTTTGTCAACGAATGTGATCCCCAATGAAATCGTTTAGATTTCAGAATCCAAAATGCTTTGCTATGTCAGTTTTGCTTGCATTTGTGGAGAGCTGTTTGTGATCAACCTCGTCTAGGAATGGCGTGAAGCTCGTGTTTGGAAGGGATGCCTTGTTACTCGGATCTGTACGTATACTTGAACATCGAGGTGGTCATTGGTCTGGTTCAATGAAGTCCTTTGCTGCGAAGTCAAGTCGTACTCTAAATCCTTTGAGTTGTGATTGTGTGCGGCATGTCGGTTGTAGTTGGTAGCCATTCTTTGTTCAGGTTGTGATGGGATCATCTAGTCTTTGGATGTTCATCTTTGCTGTTGTGTATGATCTATATACTGCATATTATGATTTACATTTTATAGATTTTAGTTAATTGTCTTTTTAGTTATGATCGTGGTTAATTGTTTTCACAAAAGCGTTTTATTTTAGTTCAGTTATTTTGAAGAGTTACTCACCCTTGAGTACCTCTTATTAAAAATAAATCGTGGTCACAAAGCGTGGATGTAGCGCGGTGGGTTAGGCCGGCTATAGAGCATGCTCAGGACGTCCTCTCTGGTGGGTTAGGCCAGGAGTGGGAGTATGATTTCGTGCGGTTTCTTTGAGGGGTCCTGTTTTGTGTTAACATTATATGGTGGTTTTTTCTGGGTTTTGTTATGTTACTTATGGTTGTGTCCTTTTTTCAAAAATCAAATTGTTTTTGGTTTGGGTTTGTCTTTCGACTTTTTTGTGTTTTATTATTTCTTTCGTTGACTTTATAATAGTCTTCAAAAGAATAAATTATCCAGTTTCAAGCTGGGTTAATCCGGTTTGGGTACCGTTGGTGTTCTTTTCTTATTCATGCTGTTATTTTATGATTTGTGGTGTTTAGTCATTTGCATTGGTTAGTTTAGTATAGTATATAACTCCATTCCAACCGGGTTAAAGAAAAGTTGGAAACTTGTTATCGTTAGTCAGAGATGTTGTTATTGAAAGCTTGGAACATAAAATCATTATTTTAAACAATTCTTCGTGGGCGAGCTGTGCGAGTATGGATAGAAGTCTTGTGCGAATGAATGAAAAGGTTAGTACTGCTTTCTTAATTTATAAATTTACTGTTTGAATCTGAATTTTTACTACATTTTGGGGAAATTTGAAATTATAAATTTTCATTATATGGAATTCTACTGCTTTTGGGGGGAAGAATTTATAAATTAATTTATTACATTTGTATGAATTTTATGACATTATATTTTGCGAAAGTTTTAGTTTATTGAAATTGTTTTAGCAAATAAGTTTTAAATCGTTTGTAGTTTTAATTTAATGAGTTTATATTTTTTGTTTGTCTTTTTTCGTTTTGTAGATGATGGTGGTGAGAAGACTAGAAAAATGAAGTATGACATTATAAAGAATGGTTAGTTAAATATATGTTTAATAGTGAATGTAATTGAAATATACTTACTTTAAATTTCGGGGAAGAAGTGCTTTGATGATATTTAGTTCTTCGGTGCCTACTGCAAATTCATGAGGTGTGTTCTGGATTAGGTTGTAAAGTTTATGATTATATTTAGTGTTATGGATGAACTCTAGAATGGGAATTTCAATGGGTTGTAGGAATTCATGCGGGATGAGGAAGGGTCTGGATTCTTCGTCCTGGAAAGTCTTTGTGATGGGGCAAAATATATACATTTGGTGGACGGGGTCGTAATTACGGAGGATGCCGTGGAAGTTAGTCTTCTTGATACAATAAGTGAAATTTAGAAAAAATGGTGATGTTTACTTTGAGTTGATGAATTGAAAACGATGGTGGGGTTGTCGTGAGGGTGTATGTAAATCAAAGTGATTTTGTATGAAGCGATAATATGTGTAAGTATGTGTCTGTTTAGTGCGTAACATAATATCGTGGGAGCAGTGCAGATCTCGTTCTTGTGGTGTAGGAAAGTGGAAGGTTAGTGTAAATAAATTAAATTTATCTTGGAAGCTTTGATAGGCTTGTGTGTCAATAAGGGCTTCGGAAATGATGTGATCGTGTTTTTTATCAAAAATGTTAAGGGTAAATAAATATGGTGTTTTGATGAAAAATTTCTCTGTTAGTTGCGGGTTAGCAAAGCGGTCGTCATCCAAAAATTGGGCTTGGTTAGGGCGTATGATGTTGTGATCATAATATTCGATAGTGAATTCATTAGCGCGGGGTGCGGTGAATGTTTTTAGTAGTTTTTTAAATCCAACGTATGTGAATTGACGTGATGTGAGTGCTGTTGTTAGTCTGTATAACATATTTTTGCATTGTTCATTATCCGTGATGGTGTTATAAAGCGGTAGGTAAAGAGGGCTAGTGTAGTGA